CTCCCCCTGGGGACTCACTGTTCTCGGCGCTCAGGTTGAAATCGATGCAGTCGTGCACAGACATGGCTCCGTGCTGCCTCTCCTCGTAGTCCAGGTCGTTCGTCTCTCCGTCCTCCGGCTCTGATACACCCTCTGGCACCGGGCCGACCCTCCGACTCCTCTCAACACTCTGCCGGCAAGGGTTGGGCAGGGGGTCGAGGTGGAAAAGAGACGGTCAGATCTACCAGCATGATCTCCCCCTGCGTCCCCCCTCCAAAACAGCACCCACCTCCACAAACCCCACTGGGACTGGGACTGAGACCGTTTCCCCAAGACACTTGGACCCTCTCTCCAGCTATGCGCTGGGACTCCCCACCCCAGGCCCACATGGTATCCCCCCAGACTAAGACTAGCACCCCCCCTCACCCCAGGGACAGGGGACCTCACCTCCCGGATCCGCCCCTCCAGGTCACACACGTATCGCCAGAGGTAGGCGTGGGCTTTGTCATCGAGAAGCTGATCCCGGTTTTCCGCTGTCTCCGGCAGGGATCCCAGTATGGTCAGGGCTTCCTCCACACAGTCCATCGGAGAGCTGGGGGTGGGGGCAGGAGAAGAGGGGGCCAGGAAGAGGTGGGGATGGGGAAGAGGATCACGTGCGAAATGGACAGGGGGTAGAGGGGTAGGGAAATTGGACAGAAAGTTGAAACGTTAGGTCAGCACACCCTCACTGGGCTGGGATACAACCCAGAACACACACGCTCTAGGCCGGGAGCTGGGGGAGGGCGGGGGGAAGCTGTCCCACGCCTCCAGCCTGTCCCAGCTCCTCCCCTATCCCCCCACCATGCCCCATCTCAGCTCCCAGACCCCGACCCTGTCCCAGCTCTCACCCCCCCACCCCACACCCCATCTCAGCTCCCGGTCCCCTCCTGCCTGTCCCAGCTCCCCCCTCCCCCACGCCCCATCTCAGCTCCCGGTCCCCGACCCTGTCCCAGCTCCGCTCCACCCCCACCCCACCCCACGCCCCATCTCATCTCCCGGTCCCCTCCTGCCTGTCCCAGCTCCACCCCCCACCCCATGCCCCATCACTCCCCACACCCCCATCTCCCCATCAGCCCACCTGCCTTCAGAAAGGGTACATGGCCCACCATCGTTGTGGGCTGTTTTCAAACTCACCGCGACGCCCCATCCCCTTACCACTCGGTGTACTGACTCATGTCCCGGTAACACAGGATCTGAGCCAGCTCCAGCAGCTGGACAGCCCGTAGCTGCTGTGTCCCGGACCCCCCCTCTCCATCGCTCTCGCGGCCCTCGGGCGAGCACAGCTGCAGCAGGTCACAGATCACGTTGAAACGCTCCCGGGAAGTGTCCCCCTGTAGCCCCTTGTAGGCCCTCAGCTCCTCGAGCAGCAGCGTCGAGAGCGAGCCAGGCTCCAGCTCCCACGGCTGCAGGGCGTCCTTCAGTGTCCTGGGGTTGGGGGGGGAAAACACAGAAATAACATGAGGGGAGGTGGGAGACACAGAGAGAAAGTGAGAGGGGGTTGCGAGCGCACAGAGAGAGGCACACAGAGAGAAAGAGATAGACGGGGGCGGGGGGGAGGGGAGCATACAGACAGAGACAGCACGAGAGAGAGAGACACAGAGCACTGGGACAGACTGAGTCAGCCTCACAGATTGGAAGCTGGGAGGTTTGGTGGGTGGATGCAGGGCTATGGTGGTGGTTGTAGGGGCAGTGGTGGGGGCAGCGCGCGGATTACCTGAGCTGCAGCTCCTCGGCGCCGCTCTTGACCGCGTCCGCTTTGATACAGGCCCAGAGGGCCATCGGCTCTGTCAACCCCTCACCCTTCCGATCGCCCAGGGCCATCAGCCACATGGCCACGATCTCCATGGCACTCTCCAGGCTCCCCAGCTTCCGGTAGCACTGTACCAGCAGCTTGTAGAACCTGGGCACCTGCAGGGAAGGAGGAGGTGGGGATTTACATACTGTACACTTGGGCATAAAGTGCGGACTGATGTGGTTTTTCCAAAAAGTGAATATTTTCTATTTAATAAAGAAAGACAAGTCCAGAGGAAGGGGGTTTGGTGCACTGTTCGAAAAAAGCAGCAATGCGCGACACTCATTGCAAGTGGTGCTTACACAGCTGCCTGTTACGGCAGACGAGCCGGGGGCGGTGGGTGGGGAGATTCGGCCGGCTACAAGGTGCTGATGGGTCGCCAGCCCACAGACCAACTTCCCGATCGAGAGGCTCCGCCTGCTGACGACAACGTGATTTTCCCCCAACTCCCGAGGTTGCTAAGCAGCTTGTGGATACGAACAATACAACCAGAAGCCTTCGGACTTCCAGGGCGGGGAGCTGGCGACCGTTTCCCCCGCGTCCCCCCACCCCAGCACCCCCATCCCCATGCAGTTTGACCCCAAAAAACCCAAGGGCCTAGGGAAAACAGGTTGTTTTCCCCTCCCCCCACCCCACCCTTGTCAATTACTGTAAGCTGTCCCTCCTTTTGTTAAAAACCGCGATAAGTCAGCGACTTCACAATGTGTACCAGTCACCCTGCGCATCCTGCAGGCAAGCGAAGAACTACCAAGGAGCAACGAGCCCTGACAAACCAAAAGGATCACCTCAGTGAACCCTCTAAATAATCGGGCAACTTCTCAGTCTTCCCTTCCATCCATCACGCCAATGTTTTATTTTTAGGAAGGGCGTATAAGGGGAGTTTATTAGTGGGTGGGGGCTGGTACTTTAACCACTGGCTTTATAAGTTGACATTTTAAGAGCTGTTTACCTGTAACTAGAACCTATTTATTTGTTATAAAGTTGTAATCTTTGCTAAGTACCCAAACCTGATCTGTGCTTTACCCGCTGTTCTGGGTCCAAGAGCCCAGCCAACTGGGGAACATGTTTCTCTCTCTTTTAACCATTCACATTATTGCCCCCAGCTCTGACAGGAGGCCACTGGCCAATCCGTGGAGGGGAGGGGGGAGGGAGTTACAGAGCAGGAGTAGGAACGCAGGAGATAGCAGGAGGCGGCCATTCAGCCCTCCCCAACCACAAGCCTCCAGCGTTTGACCCACATGGGGAGAGCTCTCCTTTTCCCCCTGCCACACCACCCCCACACCCCCACCAACCCAGAGCAAAGAGATTCCTGCCACAGAAACAGGTGCCCACCACCCCCCCACCGGCTCCAGGAGACTCCACTCTCACCAAACCCCCAGCACCCCTCCCCCCAATGTGACAGAGGTGCAAGGCCACTGCTCACCACCTGGGAGACTGGCCATCCTAAGGCAGGGTTAGGCCAACCTTCCTGGAGCCGTCACACCACTCAGCCCGTCTAGCGTGCAAGCCCTCTGACAGGATTGATCCACACTCTTCCCACCCCCCTCAACCCCTCTCCAGCCCCACACACCCCAGGCCTCGTGGGGCCAAGCCCGATTCCATGGGAAATTGTCCCGTTGTGCCCAGGGATGTGCAGGTTAGGGTGGGATTGGCTCTGGGAAGTGCAGGGTCACAGGGGTGGGTGGGTGGGGGGTAGATGTGGTGGTGGGGAAGCTCATCAGAGGGGCAATTTCCTCATTGGGAGGAACGAACCTCCAGAGGAAGCGGTGGGCGAGTGCAGGTACAAGTGACAACGTTTAGCCGAGGATTCAGACGGGAAAGGGTTCAGAGGGACGGGGGCCAAACGGGAATATCTCGGAGGGGGGAAACCCGGGACAGTTGGATCAAAAGGACCTGATTCCTGTTTGTATGGCTCTCAGTCCTACCCGTCTTCTTCAGACCATGACCCCCCTCCCCGGTCTACCACCCCAAACCCCCAATGCAGCCATTGGCAATGCCCAACCTGCAGACACATGGGGGTTGGGGGGAGGAAAGAGGAGCCCACCTGGGTCACTGACGTCCTTCGTTTGGGAGGGGTGGGGTGGGGAATCTACCGTCTGCTCCTCCGGTCTGGCCCACATCTCACTCCAGACCCCCAGTTGACTGAGCTGCCACCTCCGCGCCCGCCCCCCCCCCCCCACACCCCCAACCCGGGACACAGCAATAAAAACGCCAGACCAGCCAAGCAACACCCACCCCTGTCAACGAATTTCTTAAAAACTAGACCCCACCCCCTCCCCCCAAAGCCCCCATTTACCTGAAACATGGAGGAGAGGGTTGGGGTGGGGGGGGAGGGGAAGGTGAGGTGTGGTGGGTGGAGGAGGGAGTTTCACAAGCGTCTCTCGCGATCGCACAAAAAGGGGGCAAACTCAATCCTTTAGTCACGTCAGTATCAAGCTGTCACACCGCGCTCCCCCGCCCAACCCCCACACCCCCGCCACCGGGATCTCACGTTACCGAATCCTTACCCGATCCAGAGGGAGAGACGAACGGGCGAACAGATCAGGCGGCTGGGAAGAGCCACGGAACACCACGGCCACTTGGACAGCCTCGGAGAACAGCTTCCGGCAGTAAAACCCATAGGCCAAGTTATAGAGGCGCAACGCTGTGGGAGAGACACGGAGGGAAGGAGACGGGGTCAGGGAGGGAGGGAGAGAAAGACGGGGGGGGGGGGGGGGGGGGGGGC